TCAGCCCCTAAAGCTGGAAGAGGAGTGGGTTTGGGGTGTAACACATGTGGCCAAGCTCTTTTTCCCTGCTCCTTCCAGGGCCACCACCTTCCACTGTGGGACAGAGCCTCAGAGGAGCCGGGTGAGCTGTGGGCTGATGTTTGCTCTGCAGTCCCTCTCCCTGTGTCTCATGGGTCCGTCAGGATTATTTGCAGTGTCCGTGCAGCTGGGAGGCAAAAAGAGGTGTCTGGGCCAAACAATCCTTCTTACTTCATTTTCAACTGTTTGCAAAGCCCCTGATCAGACAACCCAGATGGTGCTAAATGGCCATGAAGAACCATTAGACAGTGGGTTATTGTCGTGCTCGTTGAGTTAGATAATTGTGATGGGCCTGAACTAATTAATTTCTACCCCAAAAAGTGGCGCTGAATCACAGTCTTTTGGCAAGACTGGTGAGAAGGACTTGTAAGCAGTTTCCTTTGGATTTATCCAGCCTGTACAAACAGGGATCTCTGCTGGAGCCACACACTTCCATGGCCAAAAAACGAGAGCAAGAAAAGCCACCCAGAGGGTCAGAGGCAGCAAAGTTGGATCTCCCTCATCCCATGGGGCAGGAGAGCTGTGGGACAATCCACCAGCTCCTTTGTGCCATGGGTCTGTCCTACCTCCCCTCTGGAATGTCCACGTTTGGAAATGGGCAAAGGCCAGACATCCTGCAGGAGGAAAAGGCCTCTGGGGCTGCCCCTGTGCCATGCTGGTCACGTCCCCTCCATCCCTCCTTTGGCTCCAAGGATCTCCAAGGATTTCCCTGCTTTTCTCATCACCCCTTTCTCAGCACCCGTCTTCCAGGAAGCCAGGGGCTTTTTCCAGGATAGTCCTGACTTGCTGGCAAAGCTTCTCTCTGCAGGGATTTCTTTGTTTCCTGATTCTGGGGGTGTCAAGCTTTGACGAAGCTGGAGACAGGGAAATGTGATCCCATTTCCCCAGCAGAACTTGGACAACCTGCCAGATTAGGTACATCCTGAGCTGCTCCTGCATCCAAAAAGGTGAAGGAACAGGAGAAAAGAGTGATTACAGACACATTTCTATGTGAGAAGAGACAGGAAATATTAGGACTGTTTAGTCTGGAGAGGAGACAGGCCTGTGGTGGCACGAGAACAGCCTGTGAGCCCTGCAGCACTGACAATCCTCTGGTTTCTCCATTTCTCATCCCAAAAAAAGAAAAGGATGTGCAGAGGAGAGTGGATACAGGGGAAACGTTGGCCCAGCACGATGTGTGGGTCTCTATAGAGAGATTTTAAGAGAAATCCTGTCCTTTTGGGGAGAAATCCCTTCCTTTGACTGGGGGAAGGTGATATGAGAACATACATCCCAATTCATTGGGAGATGCCTAAAACTTCAAACCGTCTGCAGAGCTGTGGACTTCACACAGGACATTTGGAGCAGCACCAATCCTTCTTTTGTGTGACTGCATTTCCCATGGCAGAGCCCTGGTGACGCAGGGACACCCTGAGCTGAGCAGTGCCTGTCACCAGCACCAGCTCTCCTGGCTGTTCCCAAGGGGAGCAGCTCCAGGGAACACAACCTGGAGGTGTTGGCTTCCCACAGGCAAGGGGGGCTCCGTGCACAATTTGGATATTTTGTGTGACTGAAACCCCGGTGCAATGGAAAGCAGCAGGGGCCAGGGAAGTGAGTGTAGCTGGCAATTATGCAGACATATAGCTTGGAGAAGTGTTTTGACTAACCTGATAATACAGCATGAAATAGCACGGCTCTGATGTAAAAAAGCCCTCAGACCCCAGAGGTAGAGCCAAGGTTTTTGATGGTCATTTGCCATCCATCCCAGAGCACACAGCCACAGGGTAATTCTGGCTGGATGGGACCCCAGGAAGTCCCTGGTCCAACCTCTGTCTCCAAGCAGGGATAACTCTGAAGTTACATCAGGTTGTTCAGAGCTGTGTCCAGGAGAAGGCTGGGTTTCTCCAAGGATGGGATGCCCTTGCCTCCCTCCCTAGGTTCCAGTTCCAGCATTCTGAAGGGGAAAATGGTTTTGGCATATCTTCCAGCTGGGCTGGTGTCTGAGTCCATGCCAGGTTCTCTCAGACAGGACATTTGATGTCCCAAAGCCCTTGGTGTCACACAAGCTGGATTTGGGTGTTTGCTATGGCTTTTTTTCCTCTCAGGACATCGGGCTGCCTCCAGGGGACAGCTTCAAGACCCTGGATGCTCCTCTGGCTTGGTGGTGGCACCAGTGGGTGCTGACTTTCTGCTCATGGGTTTCATCCACGTCAGCAAAGGCCCAGGCTGGCTGAAACACCTTCTGATGCCCTGTGGCTGTTCAGGAGGAGCCTGTCCTGAGCAGGGGCCATCAGCCAGGTTGTGCAGAGAGGTGGAGAGCTCGATTTTTTCATCAAACCATTCGTCTTTGAGCTTACCACAGAACCACAGAATCATGGAAGTTGGACAGGACCTTTAAGATCAATGAGTCCAAATGTGCACCCAGCACACTGACCTATGTCCCCAAGTGCCACATCCACATTGCTTTTAAATGTCTCCAGAATGGGGGCTTCACCACTGCCCTGGGCAGCTGTGCTACAGCTGGGCAACGTTTTAGGGGAAGAGATTTTCCCTAATACCCAACCTGTACCTCCCCTAGCACAGCTTAAAGCCATTACCTTTGTCCTGTCCCTTGTTCCTTGGGAGCAGAGCCTGACCCCACCTGGCTGACCCCACCTGGCTGACCCCACCTGGCTGCCCTCTCCTGTCAGGGAATTGGAGAGAATGAAAAGATCTTTTCCAACCCAAACAACTGCATGCTTCCATGAGCATCTCTGCAGCCACAAGCTGAGGCTGCTCCTCGCTCATAGATGTGCAAGCACAGGCAGTGCAGTGAGGGAAGGAAGGTGCCAGGGCACGGTGTCACCCTGTCCCCGCACCAACCCCGTGTTCACAGCTCGGGGTCTCACCGGGGCCGTGCCTGCCGGGGCGACGGGGCGAGGAAGGCGATGCCACCGACCGCGAGGTGCTGGCTGCTGCCCTGGGGCTGCTGATCCAATTAAAGGGGTTAATCCCAGAGGTACCCCGCGGGGACAGGCTCCTGGGAATGGCTGGGAATCACTGACACCACTGCAGGGATTGCTCACTGACCACAGCCTGTCCCTGTGCCCCACCACAGCAGTGCTGAGACACAGCTTGGCCACCAGCCCGTGTGGCCCCTGTGCCTGTCCCTAGTGCTCTAGCAGGACAGTCCCTTACAGTCCTGGGCAGCTGTGCCAGGGCTGGACAGCCCTTCTGGGGAAGGAATTTCCCCTAATATCCAACCTGAACCTCCTCTGGTGCAACCTGAAGGCGTTTCCTCTTGTCCTGCCACTTGTTCCCTTGGAGAAGAGACTGACCCCATTCAGGTTCCTCTGTTACGTCTCAAAAGGTTTCTCCTGGCCACGGAGCATCCAGCAGCCTCCTGGACATGGCAGAGGAGCTCTGTGTGGAAGGCACTGAGCTGGGTTGCTCCCAGGAGCTGTGTCTGTGTCTGGGCTTAGTGTCCATGGTGCCAGCACAGCCTGGATGGGCTCAGCACACTGGAGATACCTGCAGGAACCTCACCTGCACCAGGCAGTGCAGAATTCAGGCTGGTTTCCTCCCAGCCTTCCCAATGAACCCACCAGAGCAGCTTCATTCCAAACACCTCCACTTCTGGTAAATGAGCACAAATTGGCCCTCGGCTCAGCTCCAATTAGATCACACGAGGGCCAGCTAATTAGGCTGACAAGTGAGGGGTCAGGCTCAGCCCGAGGACTGGCAGCATCCTCCCTGCTGCAGCCATGCAGGCGGCTGTGGGGCAGGGAGGTGGCTTGGCCCCTCTGCCTTCACCTCATGGGGAGCCCCCCTCATGCTCAAAGCCTCACAGGGATTTTTTCCTGGATAAACTTCGGCAGCTCAGCCCCACTGTGTGGCCCTGGTGAGCAGAGCCAGCTCAGGGCCCAAGCCCCCGGCTCTGTTTTCAGCCCAGAGCCGTGAGCAGACCACAGGCAAATGGGAAGGGGTGATCCCCTATGGAGGAGCAAAGCATCTGTGGGATTTCCCTGCATCCCGACCCTGGGGATGTGGCCTGAGGGAGTACAAGACCCCACCAGGGCCCCCGAATCTTAACACAGACCCTACAGGGAAAGGAGAAGCAGCAGAGCTAGCTGAATCAAGAAGACTTTTAATCAGATTTGTCAGACAGAGTTGGATCTCCAAATAAATAGATTTATCAAAACAGAATAAAACAAGAATCCAGGGATAAATAGATGTACCAAAACAACCTGAAAATCCCCCAAAGCTGTTTCCAGACAGAGGGAAGGTGATGCTGCTGCACGCCCTCCTCCCCATGCTGCAGAAATGATCCTGTTTGCCCTTTGGGAGATGCCCCTCCTGTGAATACAGCCCCGTAGATATTATATAGGATAGATATAAATATATAGCACAATAAATGCTTAGTAGCAACCTTAGTGCAGTGTTCAGGGTCTCAGACCCTGCCAGCAGGTGGGTCCTCCCAAAACCTACATTTTCAAGTGACCTGCAAAGAGGGAAAAGAATCATCCCAGCTGGAAGGGAGGAGATTTTCAGAAAACACCCCTTGGAGGAGGGCATTCAGCCAAAGAAAGCCCTTTGCAGCTCCCTGGAGCTCCAAGGAAGAGAAGAGGGATGATTTTTCTTTCTTTGCAGGCCATCTTTCCACCAGCAGCTGGTAAGAAGCACAGTCATGTTCTGCTCTGCTGCACGCTCCTGATGCTCCTCAGGAATGCTGGGGTGTCCAGGGTGGATCCCACCTCCTCGTGCCACACCAGGTCTCTCCCTCCTCCCTCTGCTCATCCAACATCTCTGGGACAGCAGGAGGTGATGGCCAAGCTCCTGCCCTCTCCCACTGGAGAGAGGCACCCACACAGCTGGATGGACTGGGATCGTTCTCTGGAGTTGCTGGAATTTCCACTAGTGTAACCTGTATTGCAGTGCCAGTCTATTTAATAATGCAGCTCTGGAGTCCATATATATGTGTATGTGTGTCTGTGTGGAGATAAATCAATAGTTAGAGGAAAGTTCTTTGCTTTACAAGTTCTTAGTTTCCTTCTCTGGGCTTTCTGTCATCCTCAGCTCCGACGTCTGGGCTCGGAAGATGTTCCAGTGACCTGGATGAGCAAGGACAGGCACACATTAGCAACAGCCCTGGAGCAGGAAAGCACAGTTCCCCCACCTGCAGCACCCTCAGCACTGGAGGATCCACAAGGACCTCACCGTGGGAGAGGTCTGCCCACACCACCAGCCCTGGTCAGAGCAGCTCATCAGGGATCCCAGCCCCAGGTTTGTAGTCTTGCAGTTAAAATGGGATTTTAACTTGGAGGGGCTCTTACCCTTATAATGGCACAATCAATGGCACTTACAATGCTTCTTCTGGAAAACACTTGCACAGTGTGAAAAGAAAAAGGGCTCAGGCTGAAACAGGGATAAATCTCCCTCTCCACCTCTCTAAAGGGTGCTTTGATGTGGTGTTGGGTCCATGTCCTCCCTGGCATGTCTCAGATTTGGGCTGACTTTCTGTCTCTCAGGGGAAGAAGCATTTTGCTTGTGTTCTGTCTCAACCTCAGAAAACCAGAATTTCGGTTTCATGGGCAATGGACAGCCCCATTAGTTTGGGGTGGGTTGCTCAAAACCCTCACACTTTTATTCATTTTCTCCTGCTGCCTCAGCCTTGGGTCTTCATTCAGCAACCTATGGTAGGGGAAAATACTGCTGAAGAAGGAACCCCTCTTAGTCCCCCAAGGAGCTGCAGACTTGCAGCAAATCACATGTGGAGCTGCAAGCCCCACTCCTCCAAACCAGGACAAAGTGTCCCAGTCCCTTTCCTTGCTCCCCCAAAGAATCCCTGGATGTGCAGGAGGTGGCTGGAGGTGCTTTCCTTCCAGGTGTTCCCTTCCCTCAGTGCAATCCCAGCAAGGATTATGCAGTCCCAATGTCATCACCCCGGGGGTGGAGGGAATATTTTCTAGCTGAATTACTCTTCTGCTGTGAAGAAATTGTGGGTCAGAGCTTTCCTAGGACTTGCAGCCACGGCATTGGGATGTTTTCACAACAGGGTTATTTGTCAGGAGAAACTGAGGCAAGAAGAAGGAGCCAGAGACTCCACCAGGGTGTGAAGCCCAGCCTGGGAGCAGGGGCTGGAAAATCCCCCAGGGTTTGGTGAAAAGATGCTGTCCCAGATGGACTGGGGGTGAAGACAAAGCCCAGCATCCCTGGGGCACCGGGAGTGCCCTGGGCAGCAGCACTGCTCCCACTGACCCCATAACCCACGGGAGCTGGAGGCTGCAGGGTCTCATCCCACTGAACTCCATCCCAGGCAGGAGAGGAGGCCAGCAGGGAGCAGTGTGGCAGCTCTGCTCCACACAGGCACTCCCAGCATGTGCACAGGCACTCCTGCTCTTTGTCATGTTCACTCACATCCCGGAACATCCAGAGTGGTTTTTAAAAATATTTCAACAGTTTATTTTTTTGCTAATCCCTTGCACCATTTTTTTGTTCTCCCCCCCATGCTCCCAGGAGCACCAGATGGATTAGATATAAAAATCAAACAGTTTTACGGGCTCTGGAGAGACAAAACCTCTGGATTTCACAAGACTGCAGCCACTTTTAGAAATCTGGCTGCCCTTTCCAATATCATAAAGTGAAAACGTGGCTGTTAACTAGGAGTGTTGCATATGGGTGTGAAGACAGGTCAGCCCCAACCCAGCTACACTTGCACAAGTGTTTTCCCTAAGGTTCAGCTCCCCACGCCATGCTGGGATTTACACAGCCTTTTTGGAATGGCTGCAGCAGAGCAGGAAATCAGGAGGTTGGTTGGGGCAGGGAGTGCTGGAGGAGTGAGGAAGTGGCATTTTTCTCTCCCTACCTTCATTTGTCCTAGTGATCAGCCTGAAGTTTTGTGCCTCTTGCTTGAATTCTTGTTTGCTGATCTTCTTGGTCTGGATCAGATGGAATATTCCTGCAGAGGGGGACACAGGGCATCAGATTCTGCAATGCCCAATCCAAGGTTTGGATTCTCTGTGCCCTCCTGACACTGTCTGCCCCGGGGTCCTGCAGGACCTGCTGCCAGAGCCTGGTGGGAGCTGGGAATGAATCCAGGGCTGGCCGAGGCCAGGAGACATCTCATTTAAGTGTCAGATTAGGTATTAGGAGGAAATTCTTCCCTGTGAGGGTGGAGGCCCTGGCAGAGGGTGTCCAGAGAAGCTGTGGCTGCTCCTGGATCCCTGGAAGTGTCCAAGGGCAGGATGAAGCAACCTGGTCTCGTGGAAGGTGTCCTGTCCGCAGCAGGGCTGTGGAATGGGGCGGGCTTGAAGCTCCCTTCCAACTCAAACCTTTCTAAGATTCTATGGAAAGAGTCACAGCTTGTTAAATCAGCGTGTTTCACCATGAAGCAGGTGAAAGCAATAGGATTTTGTTGCTCCAGGAAGCACCTCGCCCTGCAGGAGTTGCAATCTCCCCTAAAAGCATAGAAGAAATAAAGGTGAGAGCAAGGGGATGTTGGGATCCCTGTCCCCTCTGCTCACTCTCAAACACCTGTGCTCCCTGGCTGCAGAGACCCCTCCATGCTCAGATGGTTTCCTTTCCTGGAAGCAGCCAGGGACCAAAGCTTTCTATCTCTTTGTCAGCAGCGCTGAAATTGCTCCAGGACAGGAAAAAACACCAGTGACCTCAGCAGAGACTGATATTTCTGCCCCTGCCAGCATTGTCCCCTCAGTGGAGGTGCCTGACTCAGATGTTTGACCCATGCAAACCAGAACCTGCATTTAGCAATGGAAGTGACCTTCCTGTGGGAATAGGGATTATGATATTCCCGTTCTCCTGCAAGGCATGACAAACCAGGCAGGTATGCCTGGAATATCCTTCCCCACCTCTCACTCAGGCTCCCAGAGCATCCAGCCTCTTGCTGCCAGCAGATGGGAGAGGCAACGTGGTCCCCCTTATTTGGTTAAGAGACTTTCCCTGATTCCCAGCAGCAATTACACATAAAAAGAGTATGTAATGAAGGGGAACTGCCTCACAATCCATATAAATGAGATGTTATCAACTGTGGAAAATTAGTACAGGAAGTCAAAGGCGTAGAGAGAAATAGATGGATATTTGGACTATTAATGAGTCCTTTCAGTGGGTTGGGTAAAGAAGTCCTACCAGTAACAAAAGAAGATACTGGCTGGAGGTAATAAAACTGTTATTGACGCAAGAAAGGCACAAGTGTTCAATAAATCCTTCTGGTCTATACTTAGAAAGGAGCAGGAGGGTGTGCTTACAGTCCCCGGGGCTGATGAAGCACTTTCCAGCACATTAGTAACCAAGAGGATATTTTAAACAAGACCTACAAGAGATAAACATCTTTTAATCAACCGACCTAGATAATGGTCTGAGAGCTCTCAGAGAGCTGCCTGAGACCTTTGGCCCCCGGGATGGTGGTGCTGACACATGCCAGGAGCTGGGGAGCAGTGCAGGAACACAGGCTGTGCTCCAGCAGGAATCAGCAGAGCACAAGTTAAGAGCAGTCCACCAGTGCAGAGGCAGGATGGATGGAGCTGGCACAGGGCAATGCCATTTCCTGGCATTCACATGCATCCAGCAGGCAGGAGCATTCCTGGCAGCGTTTGGGATGAGATGGAGCGAGCTGTTGGGGCTGTCAGGCACCTACCACTGTTATTGGTGCTTTAAAGGGGATTTGGACAAAATATGGGGAGAGCTAGAGGACAACTGGTCAAAAACATCAGAAAGTCCCTTTTCAAAACTCCTGGTGATCTTCAGACCCCTAAAAGGATGAGGAAGCCCACACTGCAACTCTTCTGGAGGCCAGTTGTGCACCACCAGCCAGCTGGGTAAAACTTTTGGCTGGGAGTTGGTGCTGGTTTCTCCTCCCAACTCCTGCTTCGTGGAGGAAACCGTCCTGCCCAGAAATAGCTGAGGCCACGTAGGTATCATGAGCCCATACAAAGGCAGATGGACGAGGTCCAGGTGGGACTTGCAGCCTCTGTACTCCACACACGCTGCTCTGTTGGTAGAGTGATGGACCATGGAGAGGTGGAATCCATATGTGAGTGAGCTCATGCTCTTTCCCAATAATAACACTTTGCTCTGCCAAGCAAAAGAGCTGTGTTGGCCTCGGGGACAAGGGCCTCCCCTGTCCCTGGCTGGCAGGGCTTGGGAGCTCCAGGCAGACGTGAAGCTTTTGGCCTCGGAGGTGCCGAGAAGGTTTGGGTGCTGCCCCGTGCCAAGGAGCGAGGGCAGGAAGCGGCGGGGCCCAGAGCTCAGAGCTGTCCTCAGCTACAAGGTGCCATTGTGAGGGGGCACAGGCAGGGGGGCACGGGCAGGGCAGAGCAGGCAGGGGCAGCATGGAAACATGGTGCCAAGCAGGCCTCCATCTCTGGAGCTAACGTCTCAGGCTGCTATCCACGTGTGCCCAGTGTCAGCAGATGGCTGAGCTGTCCCTAGGGAGGGGTGTGAAACATGGACATACCAGGAGACCACAATGGTTACACATGTCCAGCACACACAGGCCAAGGGTCACTGTATCCACACGACCAACATCAAGCATTCCAGCTTTTGGGGCAGAGTATGTCCAATGGAAACTCAGGAATGGGGCACTGGGATGCTTCCCTGGGCCACAGAGAAACACAGCACAAATATCTCCTGGACTGGGTGTCCCTGGACTCCTCCAGTCCATAAGAGCAAAGCTGAAGGTGTGGGGAGAGAGAAAGAAGAGATCAGAGCCACTTGACAGCGTGTTTGCCATGCTCTGAGCTCCAGAGGACATGCCAGCAGGAGCATCCAAATCCACCCATCCCAAAAGTGGGCTGGGGACAACTCATCCCCCTTGCACACACTTGTGCAGCAGCTTCCAAGCTGTAGGTGGACTGGGATGTAAAAGAAGAGCAAAAGCAAAACCACAGAATCACCAGAACAATTCTTTTGTTTGTTTTCCCTGTGCATTTGGCATGAGAGCAGGGAGGTTTGGAGCAGCAGCCCCAAGGCCCCTGTCTTGCTTGCCCATGTGCTGTGCCTCCAGATGGTATTGCAGCTCATGGTGAGGTTAGTGGGGCCAAAAGTGGTTTCCAGCCCCATGGTCTGCATGGAATGCAGGAAAAGAGTGTGAAATGGGGAGTCAGAAAAGCCAGCCTGCTGTCAGCAGGTTTTGATTCACCACGCAAGGGGTGGAGCACCCCGAGAAAAGCCAGAAAAATTGAACAAAGCTTGGAAAGCATCAGGTTTCCACACACACCTCCTGCTCTGCTGGCTGCTTTCATAAAGGTGCTCACCTTTAATCAGCTTCCAGTTGTAGATTTCCACCTCTTCTGCCAGCTCCTTCTCGATGGCCATGGTCCTGAGGATGTCCTTGGAGGCCTCGGAGCGCGGCGGCACGAACGTGTACACCAGGACACGGCTGGGGCTCCTGCCACACCGGGGCGTGGCCATCTCATCCGTGGGTTTGACTCTGGTGTCTGAGCAAGAGCAAGCACAGAGTTCATTAGACAGGGGCAGGAAGGACCATCTCAGCACCCAGGTCATGGAAAAGGCGTTTGGTGCCACGTGGCACAAACGTGTCTGTCCCACGATCTGATCCCCAGCTCCAGGACCAGCAGCAAAGCAGAGGTAAATAAAGGACCTGTGGACCTCCTCATTTTCACGTTTTTCATTCCCCCAGCCTCTGTGCCAGCAGAGGGGATGGGGAAGGGGGATTTTGTCCACCTGGATCCCCCGTGCTCTCCTCAGTGACCTTGATGCCACCATAGCCACAAAGCCATCCATGGCTGGATTCCCCACTTCCCATTTCGCTCCTGTTCAGGGAGGAACATCAGGAGAGCAAAGGGACGAGCCCACAGCAGGGGAGCCTGGCTCAGGCCCACAGGTGGGCTCAGCACCAGCCCCAGCACCCTCCCCACACTGGATGTCACCACAAGGACATCCACTCTGGGTCCTACGTGACTTCTTCAGCATTCTTGGTAAAGAAGAGCTGCTAATTTTCCCCTCTTTTTTCAAATGTATCTGGAGTAATTAAGAATCCCCCGTGGTTTTGGAAGCAGATTTATTGCCTTTGGTTGTGGTCCTTGGAACACAGAGGAGCCCAGCTCTGCTGAATTTAGCCTTGTTCTCCCAGTCAGTTTGGATGCTGAAGCTTTTTACACTACTCGAAAGAAAGTTTGGCTATAAATAGATGCCTGGGGTTTATTTTAGTGAGACAGTTATTTTAGGCCTGATTCTGCTCTCCCCCAGGCTTTCTGAGGTGGTCTTGAGCTCTTCTTGTCTGAGAGGGGATGGAAATCCCAATTTTTTTACTGGGAAGTAAACCAGAGCACAGGTGCTCAGTTCTGCAGTTTGGAGTGAGGCAGAGGGGATGACACAGCCCAGCACCCTCACCTGTCCCAGTGAGGGGTCAGGGAGCAGGGAAACCTGTCCCAGAGCCTTAACCTTCACCTGCTCCAGGGCATTGACACAAGCATGGGCTTGTTAAAGCTGGAAAAGCCCTTTAAGAGCATGGAGTCTGTGATTAAAGCCCCGCCTTCACAGCAGGAAAGGAACCCCTGGAATTCAACAGGAATTTAACAACCAAGGAGCATCACACCAGAGCCACTGGAGTGCCCAGAGCATGGAGGAGGAGGAGCAGGGACACAGAGGACACAGGTCCCCAGCTCTGCCCACAGCAGTGTTCCCCCCATCCAAACAACACAGCACAGCAATTGCCAGGATTGGGGTCCCTCTAGCAGAATCACTGAGCATTCCTCACTTACTGGGTACAGAGGAGGAAGATAAGGACAGTCACAGAAAGCAGCTGGAAAAAGAGCCTGGGCAAAGCCTCCACACAGTGAAGGAAAGGGCAAGGATGTAGCTTGGCTGAGCAATGTGTGTGTGTGATCACTATCTGTGAGAACTGGAAAGCAGGAACAAAATCATTTTGGCTGCATCAGGGTGCTTAATTGGAAAGAAAATGAAGTCTGAACAGCAGAGAGATGCAAGCAGGGAAAGTTGTCGGATTTAAACCAGAGAGACCCACTAGAGTGGGAATGCAAGACTGGAAGGGTTCTGCTCAGTCATCACATCCCATTCCCACCAGGCACCACATCATAAATCCTACTCATAAACATATCAAAAACCTTATTAAAACAAGCTGAGCTTCTGCCCTTCACTCCCCTGGGGAGGCCATCCCAGAACCTCTCCTCTCAGGGGCTGGAAAACCTTGAAAATCTCAGCTCAGATGACTTTGCAGCCATTCCAAAAGATGGCAGTGCCCTTTGCTTGTTCTCCTGGCTGAGACCCCTCCACAGAAACCACTGGAAGATGAGGTCAGAGGGGATCACTTCTGCACCTGCAGCCAGGCTCAGACACTCAGGTACCTTCAGCCTCCCTAGGGCAGCAGTGGGTGGTCCACCAGCTGAACACCTCCTGATAAATGTCAGTACAGAGAGCTATCATCCACAAAACATTCTCCACTGGGAGCAGGAGATGTCACGCCCTGCCACAGCTTTGCCAGGTCTGTGGCTTAAGGCAAACAGCTTTCCAAAAACCAGGGAGCTGAGAGACCCAAAACACACTGAACAGAGAAGGAAAAGAGGTCCTCTCCACCATGGAATCACAGAATCATTCCATTTGGAAAAGACTTTTGAGATCATCAAGTCCAACTGTTCCCCCTGCACTGCCAAGGCACTGCTGGCCCATGTCCCCAAGTGCCACAGAGCTCTTAAATCTCTCTGGGGATGGGGACTCACCACTGCCCTGGGCAGCTGTGCCAGGGCTGGACAACCCTTTGGGGGAAGAAATTTTCTGTGACATCCAAACCAAGCATCCCCTAGCACAGTTCCCTCTCCTCCTGTCCCTGTTCCCTGGGAGCAGAGCCCGACCCCTCTGGCTGTCCCCTCCTGTCAGGGAGTTGTGCAGAGCCACAAGGTCCCCTCCGAGCCTCCTTTTCTCCAGGCTGAGCCCCTTCCCAGCTTCCTCAGCCCCTCCTGGGGCTCCAGCCCCTTTCCATATTCCAGCCCCAGCCCAGTTCTACCTGGACCACCCTAAAATCTGTGTGTTCAACCTCCCCTTGCAGAGATGGGGGGTTCCAGATCCAACAAACCATGAGTACCACAGACAGCCCCTCTCCTGGGAAGTGTCCTTGCTCCTCCCTTCACTCCTACACCTCAGCTGTCACAATTTAACCCTCGACTTTTTGTCCCACCTGGAGGTTTGGAGGACAGACTGAAAACATCTTCCATCTGAGCACTCTCAGCGTGCCCTGCCTCAAGTCTTTCTCCAGACTTCATCCTCCCAACAGACGGAACCTTTTGGGGGTCAGTGCATCTTCCTTACCTCAGGAAAGTCCTGCTGCCCTCCAAGGCAAGCCAACCCTTCCATCAGTGCTTGCCCTGCTGAACGTGTCTGGTGTGAATTCCAGCCACCAGCAATCTGAATCCCTACACATCTGTCAGCCTGAGGCTTCAAACTAAGGTTAAGGAACAGGTAGGATCTCACCTACCTGGACATACTTTACAGCATTTTCCATCTACTTTTTCTGGATATTCACACGGATACTCCTTGGGGCAAGTGATCTTCTGGCAGTCCTGGACGCCGTCCCTGCAGGTGCAGAGGATGCAGGGCAGGAGGCCGTAGAGCCGGAACACCGGGTGCCACACCTCCCCATGGGAGTAGGTCTTGCCATTGTAAACACAGGCTGCAGAGAGAGAAAAGAGCTGCTTGTGGGAATACATCCTCCTCCTGTCTGTAAACCCAAGGTGGAGTCCCTGCCTTTCAGCCCCTCAGACACGGCTGGTCCTGCTGTGAGGAGGAACGAGCTCCTCTGGCAGCGGATCCGGCAGCAGCGGCACCGGGATGTCACCGCCACCACCCCCAGGAGGTGCCATGGGACACAGGGAACAGGCGCCAGGACATGGCTCTGCTGGGCTGGACCACCCTGCTGGGGATGCTGGGGACAGGGGCAAGCGTGGGCAGGACCTCACCTGCCTCCCAACCTCTGGAAGGCCAGGGTCCCTGCGAGGCTGTCACAGGAATGAAGCACAGTGAAGAGTGCCACCTGCTGACTCCTCCATGGAAATTTCTGGAGGTCCCAAAATTTCCTCCAGGCCTTCATCTCCGAGGACTGCAAAGAGCCCTTGCGAAGGCACAATGGTGGGAGAGTGGCCAAGAGGAGAAAGGACCTGTTATTCCCTGCTTTGGATCAAGGGCTTGCCTCCTCATCTCACTGTGCTACTCTCTCCTCCAGGAGGAACACCTGGCACAGCACTGGGTCAGACCCAGCACTTGCACAAGGAGGAATATCCTGTCCTTCTGTGGCACTGTCCTGGAAGGTCCATGTGGAGTCTTCCAGCTGAGCTCCTTCCTTGCCAAGTCCCAGATCTCCAAAACTTTCTAAGGACCAGTCTTCTTCCAACCCATTTTGGAGAGCAGTAGGTTCGTGCAATCAGGAGATTGTGGCCATGGGCACTGAGATACCTGCTCGAGGCTGGCTGTGTAAGGGTGGGGAGAAGGACTTGCTGGTGGAAACCTGTCTCTGAATTAGATTCCCTGAAGAATTCCAAGCTCTGGAGAAGCCACTTTAAGTCACACACAGACTGCCTGGCCTCTCCATCCCTTACCTTTCTTGTGCTTCTCTTTCAAGACGATCTTCACAGTGGTGCCTCCTGTTCCCTTGGGTTTGAAGCTCCTGGGAATTAACTCCAGGGAAGAACTGAGAACAGTGGCCACGGTGGCTCCAGGTGCTTTCCTCCCCATCACCTCTCCCAAGCACTGGTCTTGTGAGTGTCTCTGTGAGCAGCCAGAGAAAAGAGGGGATTCAGACCCTGGCAGTTGTGTTGTTCTCACTCCAAAGCATGCTGGAAAAAGCCATGCAGTGTCCTGCACACCTTCCATCAGGAGTGGAAGGGGCAGAGACCACAGGGATAAGCAATGACCCACAAGCCATATAAATCACAGAAATACTAAAGTTGACTAAGTCCTCTGATATCACAGAGTCCAGCCATTCCCTCAGTGCTGCCAAGGCCACCACTATCCCATGTCCCCAAGTGCCACATCCACAGAGCTTTTAAATCCCTCTGGGGATGGGGACACACCACTGTCCTGGGCAGCTGTGCCAGGGCTGGACAACCCTTTGGGGGAAGAAGCTTCCCTAATATCCAACCTAAACCTCCCCCAGAGTCTGACCCCAACCTGGCTGTCCCCTCCTGTCAGGGAGTTGTGCAGAGCCACAAGGGCCCCCCTGAGCCTCCTTTTCTCCAGGCTGAGCCCCGTCCCAGCTCCCTCAGCCATTCCTGAGGCTCCAGCCCCTTCCCCATCTTGCTGCTGCCACCTCCCAAGGGGTGCTGAGCAGTCAGTGTCAGTGCCCCACACTGGTGTCCTCCTCATGTGGGTCACCCCCACTGGGGCAGCACCTTTCCCTACTCAAGCTCAACCCAATGCCCTCAGAGAACACACTGGAAATGGGAATGGGAAATGGGCTGGTCTTCCCTAGATGGGAAAATGAGGATTGGCATCTGTGTGGCCCAGACAGCATCAGAAAGGTGAGGATGGGCCATATCCTGCTCTCTCACCTGGTAGGCACCAGGGGCTGCCAGCCAGCAGGACTGGAATGCCAGGAACATCCTAGGAACATCCCAGGAACATCCTAGGCTTCCAAGAGCACAGTGCTGGGACAAGACACGCAGCACAAAGGGTCCCCTTGTGTCTATTTTGGAGGTTTTATAGGTGGTGGAGCAGTATGGAAAAGGGCAGAGCCAGGAGCTAAGTGATCTAATCCCACAGACCTGGCATGGGCTGCCCAGCTCTGAAATGTCGCCGTGAAGGATCCCTCAGCAGCCGAGGAGTCACTTTTTCCCTGCTGGGGCTGCTGATACAAACAGCCTGGGGAAGGCAGAGTGGTGGCCAGATCCAGCACTGCCCTCTTGGTGGGAGGCAGGACACCTTGATCCCCAAGGAGAGAGGAGACACCTTCTCCTGGAGGAAAACCCCTCCCAAGAGAGTTTTGGGCTTCTGACTCTATGGATAGGGGTCAGGGCTGGCTGCTGGTCACCTCTGGGTCTGCCCTGACAATGTCCTTTGGCTGTGTAACACTGGCCAACAAGGAGGAGAAGTGTCCCAGATTCCCACTTCCTGCAGGTCTTTTGCTCTTCCAAAGATGTCATAGAATCATAGAATGGGAATAATTTGATTTAGGTTGGAAAAATTCTCTAAGGTCATCGAGTGCAGCCCTTTACCTGACACTGCCAGGTCCACCACTAAACCACATCCCTGAGATGCTGCTGAGGGAGAGTAGAAGTCTTTTCCTGGTCTCACCTAGGCTGATCTCTCTCAGCTAGATTCAGCTCCATGGCACGATTCACCTGCACACCAGGTGCCCATGGTTCTGCTGTGCAAGGACCTGAGTGTCCTCCTAAAGCTGCTGGGGCTGATTTCTCTGCAGAGGACAATGTGCAAGGGCATCCTGGGAGCTGTTCAGGGCGCTGTGCTACAAGCAAGAAGTGGAGTTTTAAAATGCAAATGTCACGTACAACACCTCTGTTTAACTGCAGGGGTTCCTCTTCTGTGGACTTCTCAAAGGAGCCATCTGCAAGGGAAAAACATTGTCCTGGAAGATGCTGGGGGCTGAATGGAGGTTTGCTCTCTGTCAGCTCTCCTCCATGTGCAGGAGCTTTGCACATACAATTCATATTACCAAGGAAAACCCAAGCCCTCAGCTTTTGCTTCCTGGTGCAACCAAGCAGCCTGATTTACAGCCCAGGCTTCCAAAATCCTGCTAAAGTGGCTTGAAATGGCTCCTCCAGTCAGGTGGCAATCAGCTGGAGTCTCCCAGCCCTCAGTCCCAGCCCATTACCTTTGCAGATCTGGCAGCAGGAATCTGGCACAGTTAGGGGAGAGGAGCACAGCAGCTCAGGGCAGGTCACCAAGCCACAGTAAATCTGGCCTTCCTAGGAGGGCAGGAGGAAAAAAAACATTGTCAGTGCTATAGAGAGCTGTATGTCCCCCATGCAGGGCTGCCAGCACTTCAAACTGCACAGTTACCATCAATCACTGGGAGGTTCTTCCCAGTGAGGGGAGGTGAGGCCCTGGCACAGGGTGCCCAGAGAAGCTGTGGCTGCTCCATCCCTGGAAGTGTCCAAGGCCAGGTCGGGTGAGGTATGGAGCCACCTGGGATAGTGGAAGTTGTCCCTGCCCAGGTGGGACTGAAGGAGCTTTAAGGTCCCTTTCAAACCCAAGCCAAAAACTTTTCCAAATTTGCACCAGTTTGTTGCAGGAATAAGTTTTTGCTGCTTTGCCAAAGGGTAAAAAAAGGATGTTCAGCTGCCAGACCTCGACAGCAAGGTTGTCTTCTCCATGCAGCAATTCTCTCTGGGGTATCCACAAGCTCCCAGTCAACCAAGACCAAGAGGTCAGCCAAGGATATCCTTAGAAAACCAAACCACAGCTGCCTCTTCTCCCCTGAGGAAGCCAAACCGCTGTGTGAGGAGCATGAAGAGGGTGAGGGAAGGTTGGTGGGTGACAGGATCTGGCAGAGGTCACTGCATGTCAAATCCTGCTCTCCACCTGGCGAGTCCAGACCTGCCTCTTCCTTCCTTCTCCTTCTGCCCAGCAGCTCTCAGCAATGACCTGCCCCAGGCAGGAAAGAGCCAGTGCCACAAAAAGCAGGATTTATCCCACAGGCTCTGGTCTTGGGGCAGTTTTCAGAGGGTTAGACCAGCTGTTCACGCAGCTGTTCTAGCAGCTGACAACATCAGACACAGCCCAGGGACATCCCCCTTTTGAAGGCTCCACAGCCAGCCCTTTATTTTCCCCTTTGTATCCAAGGCATTGCCCTGACAAATAAACAGAGCCCGAGTGACAGGCGGGAGGGACATGGAGCCCCACGGGCTCCTGGGGACAGTGGTGGATCAGCACACACAGCTGGATTGGAGGGCTCCTTCCCAGTGTTTCCCACCATCCAGCTGGGGTCCCTAAGAGATGAGCCAGCCTCGAAAGCTGCATCATTTCTACGTGTCACTTATTCCTCCTGCCACCCAGCTCTGAGGTGGGTGCTCAGACCAGCTATTCCAGGATCACAGATACTTCTCTGTCCAGCATCAGCTGTGTCCACTCTTGGCATGACAGAGGGAGGTGGTTTGGGCTCTTTTGCCCCTTTTATATTTCCTGGCCAAACTTGGTCCCCCCTTTGCTGCAAGCAAAGCACAGAGTGGTGGAGCCTGGCTCTGATGGGTGGTGAAAGCCACACCTGTACCTATCTCCTGTTCCATGGCAGAGGCAGCAGAGGGAATGAGCCGTTCCCTGCCGTGTCCAAGTGCAGTGTCAGCACCTTCAATCCCCTTTCCTCATTCCATCTCAAGGAGGAGGAGCTGCTCCATTTATCTCCTGGCACTCCACACACCTTCCCATGGCCTCTGGCCAGGCTGCCTCACACATCCCGAGCAAAGTGTCAGAGCTCTGCTTTTGATGGATTTTCACAGGATCCCAACCCGTGGGAAAGGGCTGGCAACCTGGTGTGCTGCAAGGTGTCCCTACCCATGGCAGGGGATGGAACCAGAAAAGCTTTAAGGTCCCTTCCAACCTGAGCCATTTTCTGAATCTATGGATCTATAGCTGATAACCCAATCCCAATGACGAACCGTCCCCCCAGGGCTGGTTCTGCCAGGTCTCCTGTGGTTTTTGAGCTGGTGGGACCCTGTTGGGGTGAGGGAGAGCCCCGGGTGCCAGGGTGGCTTACAGAGCAGCTGCACTGCACACACTGGTTGGGCTGGCGGCCGGGGAAGAGCTCGCTGCTGCTGAACATCTCTCCCTGCTGGTACGTGGTCCCGTTGTACTGGCACGACCTGGCGGGTGCACGGAGCCCAGACGGAGATTGTGGCTCTGGAAAAGAGGATGAGACAGGAGCAGGATGAGAGGCAGCCCTTGGCTGGCCCCAGGGCAGCACTGATGGCCCAGCAGCCCACCCCCAAAGAGCCATCAGCCCTTACACACCACGGGCACTGTGAAGTGGCCAGGGCCCTGCATGGCTGCTCACTGACCCAGCATCCAAAAGCTTTGGGAGAATGGGGCTGCACTGAGCTCAGCGCAGAGGGAAAACCTGGGAGTCTGACCTCACCAGGTTCTTAACAAAATTCTTGGGTTTTTCCCTCCCCTGGTTGTAACGACTGTCAAATTCAGATGGAGTCAGGAAAAAAGGTCCTGTCTCATGGGTAGTTAGCAAAAAATGAAAATTAATGAGTTTTTCTCCCTTTTTTTTATTCCTAATTTCTCAAATCACTGATGGTTTTTGACTAGCTCTGCCAGCACTCAGGTAGGGAAGGTTTTGGGACTAAATCTTGAGGTAATCTGTGGGGTTGAAATGAACATATTGAGGTAAAATGAGGTGATCAGTAGCAGCAAGATAGGAAAAGTTTTGGGGCTAAAACTTTAGATAGTCTCCAGTGCAGAGAAGGAAGTTGTTTAAAAACTTTTTTTTCTTTTTAAATCCAAGACACTTTGCTGGCAAATGATCAGAATAAATTGCCAGCTTCTGTTTTGTCCCCGAAGTGTGAAGTGACATTTTGTCCCTACAAAGCTCTTGGGATGTGGGGCAGAAGGTGGCCTGGCAGAGAGCCCTTTTCCATCCAAATGAGACTTTTGGAGGGAAAAAGCAGCCAGAGCTCTGTGGCCAGGGCCAGAGGCAGCATTGCTGCCTTGCCACAAGTGGCAGCAGTGGAGGCACTGCCCTGTAGGACCGTGGCCACCTTGTCACCCCACCCCTGAGGAATGGCCACCTACCAGGACACCTTGGGCAGCACTGCTGGGGGTCCGTGACGGGGCTGGCACACGGCAGAGCTGGGCACTGGATCCGGTAGCACCTGATGTTGGTGTTCTGGGACAGAAAGATGGGTTTGTTTAGTCCACAGGGAACCTTCAGTTCCCTGTTCAGCCCTGCTAGAGGAGGAACACAACAGTATCACAGCAAACCGTGCTGGCTGTAACCCAGCAGGGATGTCTCCAGCCCTGGCTCATCAGCCAAGGCCACCCATCATCTGAGAGCAGCCCTGAGCCACCTCCAGCCACAGCCCACCAGTGCTGCAGAGGCAGAACCATGCAGTCACTGAACGATTTAGCTGTGAAGGAACCTTAAAGATCTGTCCCACCTCCTGTTATGAGCAGGAGCACCTTCCACTGTCCCAGATTGCTCCAGCCTGGCCTTGGACACACCCAGGGATCCAGGGGCAGCCACAGCTGCTCTGGGCACCCTGTGCCAGGGCCTGCCCACCCTCACAGGGAACAATTTCTTGTGAACATTGAACCTAAATCTCCCCTCTTTTAGTTTAAAACCCTTCCCTTGTCCTATCGTTATCTTCCAGCATTAAAAATAACTCTCCATCTTTTTCACGAGCTCCCTTGAAGTACCCAAAGGGTCTCCTCAAGCTCAACGGCAGCTCCCTCACAAGATCAACCCAACACCCCCCAGGGGGACAGCTTTCCCAAAGGGAGGAGGTAAATCCAGCATCACTACGGGACAGGAAAGGGCTCTGTGGTCAAGTGACACAGCGGGACCCATCTGCTTCAAAGCTGCCTCGTGAAGCCCCAGCACAGCAGCAGCAGCAGCAGCAGCAGTGCAGCAGTGCAGCAGCAGTGCAGCAGTGTCCCTGGCAGCCCACACAGCCCCCTGGGGACGTGCCTCGGAGCAGCTGCAGCGGATGCAGTACATCAGCCCCTGGGGCTCCAGGTACGGGTGCCAGCTCTCCCCAGGGCTGTACTTCTTGCCGTTGAAGTCGCAGAACGTGTCTGGCCCTGCAAGTGAACCAGGAGAAGCTGGGTGAGAAAAGGGAGAGCCTCCTTCCCCGTAAGGGAACTGTGTTTCCCCCCAGTTTTATTTTTTTGCATGCATTTTGTACACTGGGACCCATCCCACCCCAATGGCAACTCCTCTGAGCACACTGGACTCCCTTTGCAAGAAAGGAACAGAATGGGTGGTTTGAGGCAGAAAATAGAGTTTTCACTATAAAACAGAAATGCCCACTGGAAGATGGAGAGGTGATTTCAGGGTGATGCTTCAGGATGGAATTTCCCCCAGTGAGATCAGAATGGTTGGGAGTGGTGACAGAGAAGGGAGACCCTGAATTTAGGGGACATTTTCACTGTTACCCAAAAAGAAACAAAAAGAAGAAAGGTGGGGGAAAGAACAAACAAAAAAATTCTGGGTAAAAACACGTTCTGGGTAAAAACCTTTTGCTCCCCCTAAGAGCTTCAGCTCATTCTCTCAAGGATCCATGGACTGGGCTGCTTGTGCCATCCCACCAGGTCTCAGCCCTTTGGTTTTACCTGGCTTGATGCAGCACTGGTCTGACTGAGTGGCTGCTTTTTGATTTATGGGGCTGTACAGGGGGACAGCAAGTCCACCTTACCCACTTTTCATCCCCAAAAGCATCAAAACATGGGGGTTTTTTTCCTTCTTGATCCTGTTATCCTGAGAAGAGCCAGTTTCCAGCTGTGCTCCTGAACTGGAGGTGTCTGTCCCAGAAATGCTCCAGACCTGCCTCCACTGGTATGGGTTAAACCTCACCATGGCACAAATGAGATGGTGCCCAGCACAAGCAGTGGAGGAGATCCCTTTGGAGACCTGTGCCCTCCCCATGTTTTAGCAGGTCCTTATCCACCTCCCTCATCCCAAGTCCATAGTTACAAACCAATCTCCTGGCAGGACCTGGTAGCCTGCAGCAGGAGCCCGTGGGACAAGGTGTGGCCAGGATCACCTCAAACCCCTCAGGACTTTGGCCAAGAGCCCAGATTCAGTCACCATTGATGTTCACACCCACAAGCATCACCTGGTCCTGCAGGAGTGAGCTCCAAACCTGGCAGGGCCTGCAGGAACCTGGACCCCCTAACAGCCAGGGTGCTGCTCCCACTGTCCCAAACTGCTGTGACATTGCCAAAGCCCTGACCAGCCCAGGTCTGCATGTGATTTTCGTGGTTTACGTGCTCACAGCCCCTCTGAAAACCAAAGGTGATGTAAAAGGTTATGTCATGGAGGCAATTTGAGGTAGTTTGGGTGATGGCATTGCTCGAAGGCAGTGGAGACTTTACAGTTCCTGAGGCATTTATGGCTCTTTTAAAACCTTGCACCCTGGGGATGCAGGAGAGGGGGAGAGCTGTTTTCCAAGGCATGATTCCCACCACACAGTGCATGAATTCAGGTGAGCTAGTAGGTACTGACCCTGCCAGGCTGTTGGGAAGGCTCCTTAATGAATAGCAAAGGGTGCCCAGAATTATCTCAGTGAAGTTCACTGCCCCAAGGATGCTAAGAGCCACCCCACGCTCCACTCTGTCACCTGGGACACAGCAGTGGCTCAGAGGGCCCAGCTGGTTGTGTGCCACCTTGCCAAAGCTGGAGATGCCACCTGCTTGATGGATTTCTGCAATCAACCAGATAAAATTCACCCAAATGTGCTGGGGTGGGCTGCAGTCCCTCCTCCAGCTCATGCCCCTCCTCAGGGTGAACCCAGGGGATGCTCCATCATGGCCAGACCCTCTGGCCAGCAGGAAAGGCAGCCCTGTGGGTCTACAAAGATCCTTGTAGGTCTCTTCCAACTCCAGGCCTGCCAGCAGATTTGAGCCTCTCTTGGATGGTTTTAAGCACTTGATTCTCCAGGCTGTACCTTCCCAAGTGGTGACCACCAGCTGTCCAGACTGCCTGGCCCAGGCACAGCAGCGTGGGACATCTGCAGATGTGGAGGTTTGCTATAGCTTTGGAGTGGATGTCACCAGAGGGACAGGCAGAGGCATTTTCCTTCCTTTTCCCTGATCAGGAGCTCACATTGTCCCCATAGCTCTTGACATGTCAGCAGCTCCCTATTCCTGGCCAGGCAGGTCATGAGCTTACAGCAAACCACACAAAACTGCTGAGCATGGGGCTTGAACATGAGGAACCCCAGAAGAGAGAGGAAAAAACCTCCACAAAACTAAAAAACAAAACCAAACAAAAAAACCAAAACTACCAAACAAAAACTAAACAAAAAGAAAATCACAGTTTTGCAAAAGGGTGAGAAAATGACTTCATCTTTCCCTGCTTGCAGCATCCTCATGAATTATGCTGAGGGTGAAGAAATCGAGTTGCCTCGCTGTGACGCGGCCCCGCTCAGCTCACAGGCTCCCATGCCAGTTGGCTCCTTCCTTCAAACATTTAATCACAAGTGGAGCCCTGGTTTGGGTCCAGCCCTCGAAAGCAGCCTGATTCATGTCTGCAAAGGGCCTGCTGGTAAAATTAAAGCTGACTGGCAGTGCTGGGCAGCAGGAGACACTTGTTGGCATCTCAGTAGTGCTATGTTTTTGCAAGAGGTGTTTGGGCAAAAGCAAGATGAAGATGGAAGGATGGATGGATGGATGGATGGATGGATGGATGGATGGATGGATGGATGGATGGATGCTTAAAAGCTGGAAGCTCTGGACCATTTCTTCCCATGCCAGGCTAATAATTTCATTTTCAGAGGTCAAACTTTGCATATCATCCTAATTCACTTGGAGTGAAAAGCTGTTTGTGGCAGTGAATTGCTCCCGTGCTGATCAGTAAGGTGATCTTACTGCACCTTCAGCAGCAGCAGCAGCACACTCAGAAAAGTCATGTGGGTTTGCTTCTCACTGGATCTGGAGCAGGTGAAGAAGTTGTGGGGTGGCATCTTGTTGGTGGCTGGTGTCTGAGACACATCCTAAGGAGACATTGCCTTCTTGTGCTGTGAGGGATGCAGCCAGGATGGGTTTCTCCACACCATCCATGGATTGCTGTCTCTGAACCACCTTGTGAAGATGCTGCTCAGAGCTTCTGCAACAGCCTCTTGTGAGGTTTCAATTTCCTGGTAGCTGGAAAGCTTCCCACAATACCCATCCTACATCTTTAATGTCCTTTCCAACCCAAGCCACATGTGATTCTGTGATTCTGTGATTCTGTCTCTGGGATGTTCTGAGCAATTTGATGGCTCAACAAGAGGTTGTGGGGTCTTGCTCATCTCCCCTCACTCCTTTTCTCCCATTTCCTCCTGAGGCTGAGGGAGAAGGGCAGTCCTGCATCCCCAGATGGCACCTTTGGAGTTGTCTCCGTGTCTGAGCTGAGCTCTCAGCTCCAGCAGCTTTTCTGGAGGTCACACACCTGCCAGCCAGCGCCGTGCTGGGCATGAGGGAGGGAGTTCATGCAAACCAGTTTGTAAGTTTTAAGAGCAGCCATAAATAAAGTGTAAAGAGCACTGTCTGGTACACAGAGTCCAGGCGCTCCTATGACAGCCTTGTATTTATGAAAGGCTTAAAATGCAACTTAGCTGAGAGGGCACTGATTAAAACACACTGGGCCCTTGACATGTGGCATCCTAAAGACTCCTCTGACATCCAGATCAATTCCTACACGCTCACCCTGCTCAGCTCTGGGCTGGAAATATCTTCTTGGGACTTTGGGAGCTTGGAAAACTCTGTAGCTCTGAAAATGCAGCCTGATGAAGCATCTCTGAGTTCTCCAGAGTGGAGAAGCCAGGCAGACAGGCTCCTGCTTCCCTCCACTCCTTCCCAAGGGAATGCTCCGTTACCTTTAGCAGGGCGTGCAGCCCTCGCCTGCCCCTTGCCATGGGCGTGGTAGCACTCTCTTTCCATCATGGTCCTTCCCATCTTGGAGCACCCTTCATCCCTGCTGGATCCAAACTTGTGGGGACACAGGGATCTCGGGAAGCCCCTTTTCTCTAGCAATGTTAAAAAGAAATGAAACAGCAGCTTCCAAGCTCGTGGGGAAAACCACTGCCCCGTGCTCTCCAGAGATGCTGGTGTTTAAATGCCTCCAGCCAAAACATCATTGCGTTCAACCATTGCCCCTGAATTACTCAGAATGCAGCACATTCGCCCCAGTAACCTGTGCCTCTGATATTTTTTTCAGCTGGAGTGCAAATCCCCTAAAATAGCCTGTTTCTGTGGGCAAATTCTTCTTTTCTGACTTGCCTTCAAGCCCGAGCATTTCTGCTTCTCACCTATTTTTAGCCACGACACTGTAGGTCCCTTGGCTGATGAGCCTGCTCGTAACTAATTTATTCCTGTCTTCACTCTCCCTGAACACCCAGCCCTGAGAAAAGTGTGAGGCTGCAGAGGTGGATGGTGTGGAGAAGTCCAGAGTTTGATGATGACTCTGTCACCCAAACCACCCTGCCCCTGACCTCGGGGCAAGTCCTGGCCAAGCCCTCCACGTGGTGTGATATGCCCTGTGGCAAAGCTGAAGTGTTTCAGAGCTGGGGAGTGACCCTGGACCTCCCTGCTCCAGCTCTGCTTCAATGCCATAGTCACCAGCTCTTTACCAACATTGTAAATCCTGCAAACGGGCCCCAACACTCCCTCCCAAATCAGACAAACCCTTACTGCCCCATCCAGCACAGTTCATGCCCAATTTACGGGCTGTTACCACCTCCAAAGAGCAAACATCTCACCTAACACCTGTTCCACCTTCTGGACTGTCTCTGTCCTCTTCCCAACCCTACCACGGCAGCCTAGAGGCAGGGAGTCAGACCACATCCCCTGCTCAAGAAACAGAGCCCAGGGAAGGGAAAGGAGCTGAATTCACTCGGATTTTGCTCTCTAGGGCTTTGCAAAGCCCCATCCATCCACCCGCCTTTTCCCCAGCACACCCCACAGTCGGGATGAGCAATCCAGAGCTCATATTTTGGGTCCACACTCCAGGAGGATGATTATTTGAGTGCCTAATGCACTGCTGGCAGCGGGCAAGTTGTAAATCACCCTGACGAAGCCACCGGCAGACTGCTGGGATTCCAGGAGATTAAAGGCAAGAAGAAATGTAGGGACACACCAGGTCCTGCTCAATTTGCTCAGAGCTCTGGTGGCTCTGGGAAGTTGCAAGGGTGCTCAGCACCCACTGGCAGGGTCCCAGTGCTTTGCCCAAGCCAAGCCCCAATTAACACGTCCAGCACCCTCCAAGCTCCTGAACAGCTCTGGCCAAGTCCTTCAAGCCTTTTTGTGGGAAGTGCCAAACCTCCCTTCCTAATGCCAAACCTTCTGTGCCTCAGTCAGCCCGCTGGGAGCAAAAGTGAGAGAGACTGAGGGATGGACAAGGGACGGACAAAGGATGGATATGGAGGAAAGCCCCCAGCTTTGTTTGGGGCGGGGGAGGCATCATCCCTGTCCCCGTCCCCTCTCGGAGGGGAGATGCACTCGTGCAGGGTGGGATCTGAGCAGAGGAAGGTCTGTAAGACAACCTCCTGCTCTGTGGCATTTCTAGCCCGTGGAAGGGGGTCCCAGACCTTCCTCCAGCCCTCGGAGCCCCCCAGCCCCCTCAGTGCAGTGCTCGGTGCCCCGCAGAGCAGGCGGGGACAGCAGCAGGCAGAGGGGGACACAGCCCTGTCCCCAGCAGCGCAGGACAGGACACCTGGCTGCTCGCAGGGCTGGGACATCCCAGCCACGGAGGTCCAACACCTGCCAGGGTCAGGAGCCTCCCTGTGCCCTCAGCCGTGCCCCAAAGCACCCCCGCACGTTCCTGGGGACCCCGGTGCCGGCAAACTGGGGCACGGAGGGCAGCAGCGCAGCCGGGACAAGAGCGGGTCAGACTTACGAGCCCGGGCTCGGCTCTCGGAGGCGAGGAGGAGCAGGAGGCACCGCAGGAGGAAGGCGAGGGGACCCGCCCCGGGAAGCATCGCAGCGCGGTGCTGGTGCCCTGGGGCTTCGGTCCCGGTGCCCGGGGCAGCGCTGCCCGACGTGCCGGTGATGTCTCGGGGTCTGTGCCGGGGGCTTCGCTCCCGCTGCTGCTGCCGCGGTCTCGGTTCCGGAGTCGGGCGCCTCGGAGGACGGTGCGGTGGCCGGAGGTGCCGGTGGCCGGAGGTGCCGGTGGCCGGGATGGCGGTGCCCGGGACGGCGGTGCCCGGGATGGCGGTGCCGGCAGCGCTCCGGTGCCGGTGTCAGGGGTGTCGGTGCCCAGGGGTGCCGGTGCCCGGGGCTGTGGATGCCCGGAGGTGCCGCGGTGCCGGTGCCGCGGTACCGGTGGTCCGGTGGTGCCCGTGCCCGGGGATGCCGATGCTGGGGGTGCTGTCGGGCCGCTCGGTGGTGCCGGTGCCCGGGGGTGCCGGTGCCGGTGCCCGGCGGGGCTCGTCTCGCTCCGATCAAAGGCGCCTCCTTTAGGGAGAGCCGAGGAGTTGTTTGTTGGTATTAAAGGCGGAGATGGAAGCGGGAGGGGGGATCCGCAGGGTGGGTATTTAAATTTTTTTTATTATTGTTATATTCCCACTTTTTGGGGGGGGTGTTTTAGGAAATTCCTCGGCGGCGGGAGGGAGGAGGGAGGGCGGGCGGGGAGGTGGTGCGGGAGCCGCAGGGTTAACCCCTGCAGCCCTGCAGCCCGGCCGGGGCTCTGCCGGGCTGCACCTCGCCCTGGGGCTGCGAGCCAAGAGGTGACATGAATGGGGTACATCACCAAACCCCAAACACGGCCCGGCTGCTCCCCTTCTCCCTGTCAAACGGCACCTGGACACCCGCCTGTCCCCACCAGCTGCTTGACATTCCCTCGGCTTCATAAAGCCCTTTAAATGACCAGTGTAGCCCCTGCCTTCAGGAACCCCCCCCGGCCGCAGCCCACAATCCCAAACCCTCCTCCCACCGCCCAGCAGCGTGGAGAGCAGCGCTCCAACCCAGCTGCCGTCCGACGGGCATGGAACACCATCCCCTGGAAAACCACTGCTCATGCCGTCATCCCTGCAGAAGCCACCTGGCCTCCACACAACGTTGCTCCTGTTCCTGCTGCTCCCCAGATCCTGCACGAAGTGGTCCAGCTCGGGCTGCCAGCCCTTCTCTACCTGCCTGTGGGGCTCAGCTTTCTGCTCTCAAAGATCCTCATGGAGAAGTTGGGCAGCACCGGATCCTCCCTGAGCAGCTGTGTTTCCTCAGCAGGGCCACTTCCCGTGGCTAGGATAAGCCAAGGCCACCAGTTCATTATGGAGGTGAGTTTCTACAGCTTCCTTAGACCTGATTTCGTGTGGTTTTTTACCCATTGCTCCTGTTCCACCCTCTCAACTCGTAGGACACTTCATTAGCACACGAAATACAGGTTTTAATGCAGCAATGAACACCTTCATGTTCCACCACTGGGAAGGCTTGGATGGAGCTCCCAGACCTTGCAGGACTGCTGGGATTCTTCTTTGCAAATTAATCCATGCCTACAACACAAGGTCTCTCTCTTCCCATCATCTCCTTCAGCTTTCTCCCAGCCAGGGAGGAGCTGTCATCACCTGTGATCCCTTTGGTGACAGGAGGTCTCCTCCATCAGACAAGTTATTCATTTTTTTCTCTTAATTCAAGCTCAGGATTGTGCTTTCCAGAGTGTGAGATCTTTGTGCCTGCTGCCATCCCACACTGAGAGTGGCACCAAGCCACTGGTTTGCCACAGTGTCCCCAAACCCCTTATCCTGGTCACACCAACCACAAGGCCCATTTCTTGCAGAGAAGAAAGAAATCAAGGGCAATTTCTGCAGGAAAAAAACTCTTCTTTCCATCCATCTCCCAATTTTGTCTGTCTCCAACTCTACCCCAGGTTCCAACACATCCCCGTGTACCAAACCATGTTTGCAGGTGCCTGTTCCTGGAGTTGGATATGAGGGAAATCTTTGTAATAAGAAAGCTTTTGATATCCCTTTAAATCACCAGCTTTGTTATTTTCTCTTTAAGCTGCCAGCAAAAGAAATCAAGATGCATTTCTTTGCCCAAATGGGCTGGACATGTGTTCTGGAAAGAAAGTGGGAAACACAGAATCCTGGTGATGAAATGCAGGTGAATCTTCATCCCACCTTGAGTCTCCCCCCACCCCGGAATACCTGTGACCCTCCAAGAGCACAGCCCAGTGTGCAGAGCAGAGGACAGAGCTGAGACATCTGCAGGGATGCTCACAATCTGTTGTTTACCAGCTCTAACAACAATTTTACCACTCGGTGCCCTCCCCTGGGAGTGGCAAGTGCTACTCTGCTGAAGGACCCGGGAATTTCAGGGGATTTAGGAGCCCGGAATGCAGGGATACTTTGCACATCGTCTGGCACCGACCCTCTACAGAAAGCACAAGCTGTGCTGTCACATTCCAGGGCCACCCACAAATGGGAATTCTTCTCACAAGGGAAAATTTCTTCCCTATGTCCAACCCTGCCGTCTGGCACTGGGGAGCCATTCCCTGTGTGCTGTCCCTCCATCCCTTGTCCCCATTCCCTCCCCAGCTCTCCTGGAGTCCCTTTAGGCCCTGGAAGGGCTCTGAGCTCTCCCTGGATCCTTCTCCTCTCCAGGTGAGCACCCCCAGCGCTCCCAGCCTGGCTCCATCCCTGGAACATCTCTGTGCCCTCCTCTGGACTCTCTCCAGCAGCTCCACGTCCTCCTGCTGTTGGCCCCAGAGCTGAAAGTTATCCCCACCTAATGCCACTTCCCTTTTTTCCCTGCTCCATTCATTTCCAGCTCTCTGCAAGTTTTTCTAGCAATGCCCCTCTATTTTCCCCTCATGCCTCGATAAAGATGTTTAAAGGGGTTTGGGTAAACAGCAAACTCCTTCCAGCTCCCACCAGGAAAAGCTGGTACCTCCTCTCCCAGCTCTTCCCTTGCACAGGGCTGACTTGAAAAGCCCATTTGTAGCACAAGTCTGTGGGCAAATTATGAAAGTACTTAGAAAAATGGGGACACAAAGTCCAAGTCAATGAAGTTATTTTGTACCTCTGCTGCAACAGCAACAGCTGAATTCAGGACTGTAGATCCTGGCCTCACATCAGGGCTAAAACTTATGGGAAAGTTCAGGCATGTCCTAAGTGCAGACCCAGGAAATAAAGGCCAGCCTTGTCAGGAGCAAGGTGCTGTGTTACATCTCTGTTGGGTCTCATAAAGAATACATTCACCCTTTGGCAAAACCAAGGCTCTTTATCTTCATCTGTGAAGGAATATGTCTGACAGTTCAATACTGCCAACATCAATCCATCTGTGATCATGAATCAGGCTCCAAAAATCATGGCATTTGCCTGCAAATAATAAAACATGGGTCTGTTCTGTTTGTCTTCTGGTTCCTGAGTCTTAGGTCAAATTCACTTTATGTTTTCTGGCTAATCAAGAAGACAAGACAATTCTCTCTTTTTTTTTTTCTTTTTTTAATGAGAATAAAAACAGAATCTCCTGCAAACTACTGAATAAACAGCATGGGCTCCAATAACATCCCCCACCTTGCAAACCTTGTGTCTGGAGTGTGAGCTGGCCAGGCTGCAGGCTGGAGGAGCTGGCTGCACACTGCACCTTTCCTTGGAAGTTTGTAGCCCTGTGTCCGTGACATTTGATCCGGCGTGGGCGAGGAGAAATGCACATGAGAAGGCTGTCAGCTGTAGGCAACGGAGCTGGAAACCTACAGGACTCTGAACTGTTGGAAGCTGGTCTGAAGAAATTCAGCTGCAGGACTAAGTCCTGTGGTGGGAATGGAGGAGCTGCTGTCCTGCTTGGAGTGAGGGGCCTGGAACTGCCCCAGGATTTGAGGTGCTCCAGCAGTGCCAGGACGGGCACTTCTGGTCCTGCTGCCCCCCCAGTGCTGGGACAGGCTGGGGTGCTGATCAGGCAGCTACTGATCCTGTTGTTATCCAGGATGCATAATCCAGCATCCTGCAGTGAACACCACAGTCCCTACTCACACCCCTGGCCAGGATCCTTCAGCCAGCCCCACAATCCCAGCTGGCACCAACCTCCTTTCATCAGGAGAGGAAAACACCTCAACAACAGAATGACTTCATTCTGCTGTTATTTTTAACCATGGGCTGTGGCATGAGAGAGACCCTGGGCAAAACCATGCCAGCCATGTGGGAACTGTGGCCAGGAGGAGGGCAGATGGGGCTGCCCAAAGCAGAGGAGGGATTCTTGATTCTTTCTCTAATTCCATAGTCTTCCTCCACTAATCTTTATGACTGGTGACCATGTCCTTTATCTTTGGCCTGTGTTTGAGGAGCAGTCACTGCATCCCACAGCAGGCTGCCAGAAGCCCAAGCTATGTCAGTGGAGTTGGAGATGAGCATTAAATTGAATGATTCCTCTCTGCTATATTCCACAGGGTAGAGCTAAATTGAGCCAAGGCCATATTTCCTTTGTGCTACACCTTCACATCATTCCTGTCCTAAGCCTGAAGCCTCATGGGTTTCCCTTCCCCCCTAGGGATTCAAAAACAGGGCAAGATTAGGCGGGCTATTGGGAAGGAATTGCTCCCTGTGAGGGTGGGCAGGCCCTGGCACAGGGTGCCCAGAGCAGCTGTGGCTGCCCCTGGATCCCTGGAAGTGCCCAAGGCCAGGTTGGATGGGCCTTGGAGCAATCTGGGACAGTGGAAGGTGTCCCTGCCCACATCAGGGGGGTTAGAATGAGATGAGCTTTAATGTCCCTTCCAACCCAAACCACTCCATGATTCCCTGCTCCCATCCTGCCTGAAGAGCTCTAAAGCCACACCTTCTTGAGGGTTTAAGGCAGTCAATGACTGGTGAGACTTAAGAAGATAATTTACTGATGGAAGCACATAGTCCAACCCGGAATGGGAAATCTGGTCATTTTTTTTCTAGAGTCTGAGCATGTTGCCAAGAACAAACCCAAATAAAATAGTCTATAATCAGTGGAAACCAGTGATACAGAGAGGACAGTGGGTAAGAGATTCTCCTCCAGG